TGGGTAGACAATTTTATCGAGTATCACGGTCTTTCTGCTGGGACTATGTATCTCTTTTTAGCCCGGGTTGACTCTGACAGGCACGGTCGGAAGCCCATCTCCTTAATCATCTAAATTGTGTCGATGAGGGCTTAAACACACCTACCCAAAAATAAAAATAAAAAACAACAACCGAACAAAACAAAACAAACACTTTAGATCATTCTGGAGACAGGCTACCTGAGCATTACCTACTGGGGTCAACTCGAAGTGTGGACATTAAATAAGGGGGTCACCAATATAAAGTCGACAAAAAATCTCGACGACAAGCTGTTATTAAGCTCAGAAAGCAACATTCTGTAGGAGAGAGAGAGAGAGAGAGAGAGAGAGAGAGAGAGAGAGAGAGAGAGAGAGGGGGGGGAGTAACAAAGTTCCTTTTAGTTTTAGTTTTAATAAGAGTTTTACGGCACTTGCAATACAATTAGGTCATATAAGTGCCGAAGATTAGAAGTAGTACAAATATTTGATAGGAAAGAAGGAGCAATCCACACCACAGCACCCACCAACCAACCACCTTTATATTCATTTAATAATTAATTGTGATTAAATCATTACAAAATTTCTCTATTTTTTTAAATTAATGTTTATAATTTGAACTTCAGTAATATCTTTCTTGATTTAATGCAACCAGTAGATACCACAAAAAAAGGAACTGCAATGACAGAGAAATAAAAGTGGTGCTTAGTACATTTAAACAGCTAGCTCAACGGCATGTACCTTCCCCACTGAGGAATCGAATTCACGTCTTTTGTGTGTAAAAAGAGGAGCTTGTCAAATAGTTCACTGACACCGAAACCTAAAGAGGAGAAGTCTTTTTTCCCAAATAAGGATAATTCTGCGTTAACATCTTACGAATGGAAATGAAAATAATTGTTCATACAAAGGTGTAAGGAATTTGAATAAAAGGAAATCTAATTTGTAACATTTTCATTTGTCATTATCCTCTGCTGTAGGCCTTCTTTTTCTCTCTCTCTCTCTCTCTCTCTCTCTCTCTCTCTCTCTCTCTCTCTCTCT